TCATGTGTTACAAGGTTCGCAACACAATTCTACACCATTCAGAGCATCCATGAGAATCGGCATCATCTCCAAGTGCTATTTGTTTCTGAACAATGGAGGAAAAGTGACTTTGCCAAGAAACCCATCGGAAAAAGAATTGAACGAATAATAGCTAGGCAAGAGTTTTGGGACAATATTTATCTTGCTTGTCAGGTATTGGCACCGTTGGTTGATGTTCGGTTGGTTGATACGGAGGAGAAGCCGTGTATGGGCTATATATACGATGCTATGGAGAGAGCTAAAGATCAAATTAAGAAGAACTTGACTGGCACCGTTCACGAAAGACTGATCATTAAAGTGTGGTCAATGATTCAAGCACGATGGAGTGACCAACTTCATCATCCTTTGCATGCCGGTATAATTTATAAAACATTGCTATGTTTTATTTATTTAATTTTTAAATTTAATACTATTATTGGTATTAACTTTTAGTATATTTGTAGCCGGATATTACCTCAACCCCGCCATTTATTATGCACAAGATTCAGATGTTSWGAATAATAGATACATCAAGACGGGACTATACGAGGCAATTGACCGACTTGTGCGTGATGAAGAAAAAAATGACACTTTACGGATGGAACTCAATCAGTATGTCGAGATATCGGGGCAATTTGGATCTGCGGCTGCCATAAGGAATAGAGCTAAAGTAGCACCACGTAAGTATGATAATAGGATATAATCATAATATATATATATATATATATATTTGTGTTTTTTTATTAACTCAATATACCTATAAAACGTAGATGTATGGTGGCGTTCTTATGGCATCGACACACCCTTGCTCCAACAATTTGCGATTAGTGTTCTAAGCCAAACCTGTAGCGCTTCTCCTTGTGAGAGGAATTGGAGTGCATTTGATCATGTAAGTTTTCTTTGTTATGGAAAAAATATTAGCACAAATGAAACTTAAATTCAAGTTATGGTTTTAAATTTATCAATTATCAATTATCATTTCAGTTGCACTCTAAGAAGAGAAATTGCCTTTTGCAAAAGAAGTTGAATGATCTTATCTTCATTCAATATAACAAAAGATTGGAGAGGCGCTATAAATCTCTTAAGGATAGCAAGTCTTCAAATCCTATTTTCTTGAGAGATGTAGAAGAAAATGATGATTGGGTGGTTCCAACCGACGTTGAGCTCCAAGAGTTTGTGGATGCAAGAGATGGCCTCCTTTGGTCGGATGTACGAGAAGCAATGGGAGGTTATGAAGAAGTTGGACCAAGTACAAGAAGTAAAAGGGGAAGAAGAGGAAGGGGAAGAAGAGGAAGATTGGGAAGCTAACCTAAACGAAGAAGTGAATGTATTGGATGATGTTGACTCGGATGCCGAACCTATTGCTTGCGATTAGCTTGTTTTTGAACACTTTAAATGATGTGATGTTTTAATTTTGAAACTATATTTCTAAACTCTAATTAATGAATATTATATATATAATTCTAAGAAATATTATGTTAACCGCTATTTTGGACCTATATATCACCGATATAACCGATATATCGAATATCGGTCCTGACCGATATTTCGTATTCTGACCGATATAACAGCATAGCCTTGACCCTTATTTTGTTAAGTTCTAGTCAAATAAGCAACTAAAAACAAATAAAAAAATAATCAGCAACTAAAAACAAATAAAAAAAAATCAGCAACTTAAAAACATAAAAAAATAAGCAAACTAAAGACATAGAATGAAAAGAAAATAAACAACATACAAACTCAAGAGTAAAAAAACAAAAAATTGTTCATGAAATGAAATGAAAAAGCTCATATAAACACTAGCCTAAAGACCTGCTTTGACTTTAAGAAATAAAGGGTCTGCCTACCAAAAAACAATGAGATGAGGAGAGGAGAGTGTGTGAGGGAGAGAAAAGGGCCGATGAGAGAGTGTGTGAGGCAGAAAAGGGAAGGAAAGAAGGGCAAGCGTGAAGAAGGAGATGAGAGGAAAAGATGTTCTTTATTGGTTTCTTTTATTAATAATCAAAAAACAAATCCCCAATTTCGCGGCATTAGCCTCGGTACCCCACCACCTCAAATTGTGTCTCTCATCCATGCGAGGTGTATGCCTCAATGACAACGGCAGATACGAAACCTCATAATCGATTTTGGACCACACCTCGACCACTTTGCAAAACCATGAATGTTGGAGAAGTGAGCACCTTTAATCAATTTACATGTATTTTCTCAAGCCCTAATCACTATATAGATTGTTCAACAATGGATGTAAACCACCATAAAACTGCATTTGGTACATGGGCTTGAACTCGACAAAACTGCTCTTCCATGTTTGACACGACACGGAACATGACAAAAACTCATTGTCCCACGTTTGGCGCAACATGAGACCGTGACATGAAAAGGGACTAGATGGGATAAAAAAGGCTGTTTTTGTGCCACCAAAATAGGTGGAAGAATGAAACAAGAATGGGATAGAACTAAAAAAACTACCAATCTACCCTCATTTGAAATAACCCTAATATCGCATTTGGTTTAATGGTCACAACCACCCATCACCGCGATCAGCTATCACTGCCACCTACTCCACAACTACCAAATATACCACCATATCCACCATTGTCAGCCACCACCACTCTCCACCATCTTCATGTCCACCACAACCACAACCACCACCACCTCCACTACCACCAGCACCACTTGGAGGCCACCTCCACCACCACCATCGGCAACATACCTCCGTCCATCACCACCTCTACATCCACCAAGTCGGCCAACCTCTCTTCCGACACCACCAGTAACCACCATATAAAATCATTAAACATTTAGCGGCAACGTGTCCAGGACAGTCATGTCCATTCCTAGTCATGCCAAACACTAGACATACAACTCGTCATGTCCTGTCCTGTCCTGTCCAGTCCAGTCTCTTGCAACATTGAAGTCAAATGACAAACTCATAAGCTCAAGATAGGGGTTAATAAAACAGGAGAGATGAACAACATACATACAATTTCAAAACATCTATGCCAAAATTTATACATTTACCCGGTACTTTGTAAAAAACGATTTTCAATACTATCGAACCCCTCTTGCTAGTAAAAGTGACCATTCAAAAGGAGAAATTGCTTATACAATAGAATTTGGACAAAACATACCGGTAAGAAAAAACTGCATCCACAAAAGAGATGGTAATATGCAGACATTTTATAAATTTAAGAGGTGCATAAAGGGCACTAATGCACTACGGAATCAAAAGAATGTTGTGAGAACTTTTGGGAAGTATGGAAGTTCGATGGCAGGTATGGATGATGCAAGCAAGAAAAACAAAAGAAAAACATAAGTTCATTCACAATGAAGACAGGCAAGTGCTCTAATAATATTAAGTTGAAACCATTTCCAATTTACATGTGCTATGGGGAAGAACTAAGAACAATGTATTCCATAAATTTTCCATTTTATTTACCAATTTTTTTATCATGACCAACATTTCATGGCTGGTTGCATGCTAGTAAGCAAACAAATCATGTTTCACTCTTTTCACAAATCTCTAAAGAATAATAAATCCTTCTAATGCCCTTGAAAACAATCAAACTACCATAAAGTGGTAAGATGTAAAATAATAAAGCTGCTTCTATTAAATTTAAAACCTTTTCATTGTTTTTACAGATCATGTTTGAAATTCCTTTAAGTAGCGACTTGGCCTAAATAACAAAAACTAATATAAGATGGAAGTCCCAAAGTACAAATTGTAAAACGACATTTCATAACCATTTCAGTAATTCAGCATAGTATCCTACTCAATCATTGTAATCTCCTCCAAAGTCATTGTGTGGGCAAAACATGGAAATGCTTATACAGGCTATTAACAGATGCATCAGAACATGAAACCACACGCAGCAATCGAAATTAGAGGTTTGCATTGTCTTTTTATATCCAAAGCAAACAATCAAACAAAGAGGCACTTACCAGGGCCAGCATGTCAGTTAGATAACTCCTAAATGGTGTCTGCTGCGCCTGTAACAATGGCAAAGTACATCATAGTCAATAACTCTAATCTTACTTTCAAAGGTAGATTACAAATGGGCGTGATTCAGCAATTCTGTCCGATTTATCCAACACAGTTCTCAGAGGATTCAAAATATATAGATAAATAACAGTTCAACCAATCAACTTACCAAGAAAAAGAAACAAAATTTAATTTCACACATGACAAGCAACTACGTATAATCTAAAATGAACCTGGAGATCTGCAGTAAGGTACTCGTGCTTCATGGAGAGATCCATGGCGCGTAAGAGACGCTGGTTTCTAGCATCAACAATCTCACGAGGCAGCCTTGCCAGTGCTTCCTTGATATCCAGACACTCCATCGGATCGTACAAATCATCATATCGCAACCCTGGTTGTCATCAATAACCCACAGAACCACATCAAAACATCGGTAAAACCCCTCACAAAATCAGAACAAACACAAATCCCTAAAAAGAATCGCTTACAAATTCACAAACACTGAGATTCTTACCGTATTTGCTAAGGCGAGTGGCGATGGTTTTCTTGTGAAGAGCGGCGAACCAATTTTTCTTAGGATCCAAAATCGCTTTAACCAATTTTGACGACGCCATTGAGATGATCTCGAACTCTTATCAGACACAAAACACCCTTTTGACTCCGGCGTATGGCGTTTCTAGAATTTGTATGCTCAGAAATGTCGATGACAATGTATGGCCAGATCAAATCACAATCACACGAATCCCTAACGGCCCAATTAATCACGACAAGAACAAGAGTACAACTTACAAGTAAATATGCAAAGGCCCGATAAGGTCTTGCCCTAAGCCCAATCCTCAATCTCCATAATTTGTAAATGGCAAAATTCATGAAATATAAGTGGTTGGAATAAGCAAGATTCTCTTATGATATAATGCAAAATGAAATATAATTGTCTGGTAATTATTTACAATTAAATTAGGGTATTGAATGGTTAAGGGAGACCCTGGATACAAAATCATTCAGATGGTTTTAGAACCACCAAATAAGATTCACATTTTAACAATTCAGATGTTGCATCTTAATGAAACTATTAAGAGGTAAATAAACAAAGTCTACTTTTATAAATCTACTTATTATAATATTGTATTTTTAGTTTTTCTTATTATAGTAATATATTTTTAAATTATTACTATTAGAATATTGTACTTTGAAAAAATTTACATGTTATAACAGTGGGTGATCTTTTAATTTAAATTTGGTCATTATATTAAGTTTCCTTGTCACCCTACTGTCCACATAGGCTGTGTACGTGTACTACATCACCTACATGTCATTTCTTATTACAGCGTTGTATTTTCAAAATTATTTTATTATAGCATCATCAGTTCTTTTTACAACGTTATACTTTTAGTTTTAGTATTTTTATTATTTAGATATTGTACATTTCATCAAACATGTTAACCTAAATTGGTACCCGTTTCTAATTCTGAATTTTATTAAAAATTTAGTCTCCAAAATTGAGATGATAACAATGGGTAACCTTTTTATTTGGATTAAGATGACATAACACAAGTTACCAGATTTTCATGTCATGTCATTGTCCACATGGGATATCCACATCTAAATTTTGTTAACGTAGCATTTCTTAGTACAACATTATACTTTGGAAAATAAATTTGATTTTACATATTATTTAATAAAAATATTAAATGAAAACTAGTATAACACAATTTATCTCGCTAACATTTTCAAAAAATATGCATTTAAAAAAAATTGTTACGTTTTTTTATCGAAAAAAATTTATCTTTTAAAGAATATTGTGATCCTAGATTTCAATCGACCAATTAACATAAAGATCAAGAATATAATTGTAAGTTGAATCTGTCAGCCAATATATTCATATACTGTGTAGTACAAGTTCTTGATACAAAATCCTCTCAATCTCTCTCAAAATGTGAATAGGTTCTTAACCAACTAAACTAACAAAAATAACTAGCTATTATTTATAGCAACTGCCAAGACAAACTAACTATGCTATAAAAGGAAACTTTACAACTAAACAATACAAAGCATTTAAGACAGATTTAGCACGGGGACTTGAATACAATATTTTTGTTCCAACAAATATATCATACTTGTTTAAAAAATTTACCAGACATATAAAAATATTAAATTAATTAGAGTTTTTAAAATTATTCTTTAGTATAATAATATTAAAGAAACTTGTAGAGCACAAATTATCTCTCTAACATTTTAATAAAAAATTAAAAGATATGTATTTCTTTTAACAAAATAAAAAATAAAATATAGAAGTGTAATTTTTTTATAACCAAAATAGTTATCTCAAAATTAATATATCATATTTATTTAAAAAAATATTTTACTCTAAAATATTTAATTTGGTTGCAATTTAATAAGAAAAGGTTAAAAAATTGAAATGTTTTTTTTAAATTATAATAAAGAAAGGTGAAAATCATTAAAAATAATTTGAAAGAGATTTTTTTTATTTAGCCACATCATCAAAATTATGTGTAATTCACATCAGCTTATTTAAGCCAATGAAGCAAAAAAAAGTGATGGGCTAACCGTTTTAAGACATAAACTAGTTGATGAATAAATCATATTTGACAAAAACTAGTTGATGAATAAATCATATTTGACAAAAACTAGCTGATAAAATTTAAAATGATAAAAAAAGGTCATTTTAAAAAATTAATTAATTATAATATCTCAAAATATAATTGAAACAAATGTCTAATAATATAATATATTAACTAATATAAATAAGATGTTAAAGAATATAATATATTGATTAAAATAATTTCAAATTGATTATTATATATATTATAATATTTGAATTTGTTAAAACAAATCTTAGAAAAAAATATTATTTATGATTTTAAATAACCATCATACATAATATGAATAAAAATAAAAATAGTCTACCTCGCCTATCCTAATTAATTAATTAATTTTCGAAAAATATATTTAATAATTAAATCAAATTTTATTCAAACAATTTAACATTATTGGTCCCAACCGTATCTACAAGAGTTTATAGGTAACAATTTGTAGAAAGGGATGAATACAAACACAACAGCTTTCACTTTTAAAAAACTTATATTAATAAAGAAGATCAATACAGATTTTTACAGATTGTTTGTGGAAAAGATAAGATACAGAACTTATCTAAATAATAAAAAAAACACAAGTTACAAATGGCAAGAAAGAAAAGACTTGCTGACATTGGAATAATATTGAGGTTTCATCAGTGTTCATTGAATCTTGAATAGATTTTATACTTGTGTAGACGAGATTGTTATCACTGAAAACCGCATCAGATCACGAACATGTTTGTCTTTGTCTTCAGCTTTATCTTTGATGTCGCTGAAAGTTCTATGGCGTGAGTTTTGTCTTCTTGAAGAATACTTGTTTATAAGAGAATTACATTACATGTTCAGCGATCATTGAACAGATTTAGTGATGATCGTTGGAGCTGAATACAGAGATAGTACACTTCGTAAGATAAAAATGATCATCATCAAATCACTGAGAGAGAGGATCAACAATCTTTCTCTATTTGATGATGACAATTTCTCGACTTGAAATCCATAAAAGACTTTAAGGGAGATAAAATAAGGGCCCTAAAATGCCTCAGGACGACTGCACGTTACATCATAGCAGCATGACCAAATGGACTCTTTTCTTTAGCAACACCAACAGTTTTATTTTTTTAGGGTAGTTTGGCGGTTAACCAAGAAAAGTATGGGATGTATACTTTGATTCAAGTTTCGTGCTGCTCACCACTCCTCRAGGCCAAGGACGGGGTCGAACCGTCATTCAAGGATTTGTAGTCCGATACATTTCCATTATGTTACCTAGCCAAACCCGCCACCTCATGTGCCAAAGTCAAGCAATATAAAGAAAATTGTTTAGGTATAACAGTAAGGAAAAGGTACTAGTAAAATACTTCTCCCTTTTTAACTGTTTTGAGATCTTTTTTAGTGATACAATTTACTATGGAAATTTACTTTAATTGTAAAAGATTGCAAGGAAAGAATAAACTTACATAATATTAATAATTGAATACTGAAAGCATATTCCCTGACTAGAAAGGAATCAATGAATGTAAAAAATAAATAGAACTCATAAGTACTTGTCTCATTTACTCTTTTCAGGGATCTTTTTCAGTGAATCAATCATTTTATTGAAATACTTTACAAGAGAAAATATTACAACTGATTACAATCGATTTTGATAGGCTTAAAACATAAAAGCTACACACTGAAAGAAAAGATAAAGAAATACAAGATTTACAAGACTGAAAGGTTGACTATTCTAGATTATTGAAGTTGATGTAACCCGGAACATCTTCTCCTTGCATCTTTCGTCTGAGCATTTCCTTTCGAATCTTATGGTCCATCATCTCGGCGTAGATGTCTTCGTTCAACCAAGTTTGAAGATATTCCAAATGATCTACTGGCAGAGATGGAACTCAGATACTCGTTGAAACTTATATTGACCATCATAGTCAATGAACATAAGTTCATACTTAGATTTCACATGCACTGTGTTGGGTATATAAGGACCCTTCTCAGGCAGTAACAAATTCAGCATTGAGATATCTGGCTTCTTTCTATCCTTGAAGAGTTCATCCACTAAGAATTTTGTTTCATGTTCATTTTGGTTAGATGGACCTTCTTCAGGTTCAGAAAGATTCTTTCTTCAAGAGAGTTTCTGTGGCAGAGGAGGAACCTCGACGATCTTCGACACCTTTTTGAATAATTCGTTCAGAACATCTTCAATGTAAGCCTTGTGCTTGGATTTGGACTTTTGGATAGCGTGTCGAATCTCGAGTCATTCATAGAAACCATATTGACTGAAGAATGAGGGATACTCATTGACAACATCGTTGTTCTATTAGAAAATGACCATTGAAATAAGTAGAGAACCATCTTCATTCGATCATTGATAGTGACGTTTGAGATTTTGTGCGGGCTCATTCTTTTTCCAATCATTTTATGCTCCAGTTGAGGTCACGATCCTTCAGCTTCAGCACCCGTTGTCTTTCTCGTTCAGCTTCTACTAAGAGTTGGGCTTGAGCACTAAGCGAATCTTTCCTCTTGAATTTCCCTTCAGCAAGTGCTTGATCAGCTAGAGTCTTGGCTAACTCCAAGTTGTCTTTAGTTATTCCTGATGTTTCTTCAACTCTTGTTCAACACGTAGGGATTCCTCACGTTCAGCTTTTGGAAGAAAATCATACTCACTACATCTAGAGGTACGAAGAGGAATTTTTACTCTGGGTTGGTCTAGTTGACTTATCAGTTGAGCCATCCTCAAGTCTTTTTCAACTTCTGAACACAAAGGTTGTCTAGACGACTTCCTGGTATTAGAGTGTTGGCTTCATCTTCATCTTTATCTTCATCGTCCTCTAGGGTTTTAAAAGATGGGAGATGGGTTGAAAGACCAAGAGGGGTTGTTGTAGTTAGAGATAGAGGGATATGGATAAAAGGTTCAGTTTCTGAGGAAAGGGGTACAAATCTGGAAGTATCTGCATCCTCAGATTGATTGATTGCCCTAAGAACTAGGGCAAGATTGTCTTCAGCCACTCCTTTTCCTTTGCCAGAGGAGTGCAAGTTCGCTGATGATTTCTCCCCCTATGAAGCAAGTTCCCTGGAGGAGATTCCTTTTACTGGTTGTCATGGTATGATCTGGACGCAAAAATCATCATCATCGTCGTCATCATTGTCGACATCATCATCATCATCATACC